GGATGGTTGAGCTTGTGGCTCCTTGTTTTTAATTGTAAATGATTTTTTACCCTTTCGAAAAATTTGCCACCTCTTCTTTGTGATTAAATGTGGTTGTTCTTTTGCAAATTTAAATATCGGTTTTGATCAATATCGATGACTTGAATAGTGCTTATAATCGAACAAAAATGAATGCGCTACGATGAGGCCAAATGAAGTTGCATAGTCAATATGTGAACTCTTTGCATCTCGTTGTGACTAGACAAGTATCGAATTGAGTCTCTTGTGAGGAACATTGCACACTAGCGAAAGTGTGGAGCCTTGTTTGACTTTGGTGTCAATGCCTTGTGTGATGAGCTTACCGTGAACTATGTGTGATGACACCTAGAATTTGCCCCGTTGGTCCAGTTGACTAAATGATGTGAACTTTTGAGATGATCTTAGGCAAATTTAAAGAGTGTGAAACAATTTGACATTATATCTCTTTTTATGGCCTACCTTGTGAGTGTGTGAACCTCTTTTGAACACCCTTTGAGCCTTAACCGTTTCTTGGAAGAAACTTGATGAAACCATAACCTTTCTTTATCCATTACTCATAATCCTCATGATTTGTGGTCTATTTGAATAGCCAACTTAGGCCAAAAGCCTAAGTTGGGGGGTGTGGTAAAAAGAAAAGGTGAATCAAGAAAATGCAAAGAAGTCCGTTGTGCCCATGTTTTGAGAAAAATTGAACCCTCCATACCAAAAAAAGAAGAAAAGAATGAAAAAGAAATGAAAAAGAAAAAGTTGTGGAATAAAGTGTGAAAATGCAAAAAGAAATGGGGTTCCCAACAATCCATGGAAAGTGAATAATTGGATGACTTGTGAGAACGATTAAAAATGATGAAGAAAAGGAAAGGAAATGTTGTTCACACCACATTTCATGAGGACTATAGCCATTGAACCTAAATGACCATACATTTGCACTCAGCCTCATTACAAGCCTTGAAAAGACCTTTTTGATCTTGAGTGAGCTGAAGCAAGTGTTGATTGGAAAATATGGACAAACCTATGGGTGAAATCATGCAATGTGTTCATCTTTGTGAGTGTTAGCGTTGCATTTGATTTCGGAACTTTAAATTGTTGAACCATTGTGTGTGAATATGGAATCATTCTTTGTGTGAGGGCATTTGAGTACCTTTGTTGAGCTTGAACTTGCATTTGAAGCAAGTATTGTGAGCTTGAGATTCCTTTATACTGGTGAGTCACAACTTGAGTCTTTGAGTGCACAGTAGACCCTTGTATGAGTAATTGGAGTCTTTTTGTGTGCATTCATGATTGAATCTTGTGTAGCACTGTTTGAGACATCCTTTTTGAACTGCTGAACTTGAGTTTTACTTGAGGACAAGCAAAAGTTTAAGTTGAGGGTGTTGATAAATCCACGATTTGGACTCATTTAGGGCTTCATTTTAATAGATTTAGTGTCCTCAAATGCATATTTTGTACCAATAACTAATGTAAATCCTTAAATTTCAGGTATTTGGATTGAGGAACAAAGCATGGACACTAATAAAAAAAAGGAACAAGGAAGCTGAAAGAACGAAGAAAAAAAGGCATGAGGATCTCCAAAACCATTGGGCGAATCGCCAAAGGACCTTGGCCTCGCCTAATGTTCCAATGTGCCAAGCCCTGAAGGAGAAAATCAAGTCGGTAATAGAAAGGAGCAGTCGGCGAGTAGCCGAACAGTTCCGTGAAGCAATGCTTCATCACCCAAGTATATAGAAGTTGAAGATGCTGAAAGCAGAAGAAAAACGACAATGAAAATGACCAAAGGGCGGATCGCCGATTGGATCGTCGATCCCGACTAACTACGCCAACTGGACCTTCGCACCACAACTTTTTGACAACTATAAATACTTGTTTAAATTCTTAGTTTAAAAGAAGAATTCAGTTTTGATCGGTGTTATTATTCAGTTTTCAAGCCTAGAACTTAGAAGTGAGTTTTTGGAGACATTTACTTAAGCTTAGAAGATTTGAAGATTTCCAATTTGATGTTCGAGAGAAACCAATTTGATTCGGGGTAAATTGTTCGAGAAAAAGTTTATCCCCACTAAAGTCTAGCTTATTCACTGATTTGCAATTATTTACTATTAATTACAATTACCCGGTTGTTTACCTTGGCCCATAATCCTATCACATCCCAAGAATCTCATCTCCATATTCGTATTTTTGTGTTATTTGCTGTTTTAGTTGATAATTGAATACAAAAACCCCCCTTTGATATTTGACACTTGTGTCACCCCAAACTTGAATTATGTTTTTCTTCATAAATATTTTAGCTATGATTGACTTGAACATATTTATATTTTTCTATTGATTCTTCAGTACGAACCACTCCCTTGGGACTCGACCCCAACTCACTTAGTTGGGTTATATTACTATTGAACAATCGATGATGCATAGTATTGGATGAAGTATCTTTGATAGCGTTAATCAAAAATCAGCGCGCCGCACTAGACCTCCAAGTACTCGGGGTTAGTTCGGCACACTACAGGCACAGGGCGCCAGCCCTCTTGGCGCCTTGGGGGTGCCATTCCCCACCACAAACCCAGAACTTTGACGAATTGTTTTTGCTAAATTCAAGACCTAACTCATCTAGAATCGAATGATTTCCTTCCATACTATTTTGGATTCATAAACCCAACAACTTAATAGAAAACTCACTTTAATCCATCAAAAACAGCACTCATTCGCAAGACCCTCACCTCAAGAACTCAACAAGACTCCATTCTTAAAGAATGAAGCTAAAACCTCAAGAATTTCTCAAAAATTTCAAATCAACCAAGCTCAAGGAAGAATTATTAATAAAAATACATGATTGGCGTGAGGGTGAATAATTCAACACTATGAGAGGTTACATACCTCAAAAAAACCAAGTTCTTGGCGAAATTTTCATGTTCTTGAAAGAATGCTCGAATCCTCTTTTTGTTTTCTCATGTTGAACTTCTCACTAAAAACCCTACGCACTTTTGGAATGAATGAGAACTGATCTCAATCAGTTTAGACCCCTATTTGGGAGAAGAATTTTTTTTTAAAAATGTGCTAGGCTAGTGGGGTAAGGAAAATACCAAAATACCCCTCCTTAAAATGGATGAAAATGCCTTAACTAGAGAGGCTGCACTCAAACTTGCATAACTCCTTCAGCCAAACTCGGAATTTAGCAAACTCAGCGGCGTTGGAAACAGGACACAGAGACCTTCGAATTGATACCTCATGGTTCACCTAATTCATCGTGTATCGAAAGTTATGGTCGTTGAAGTTGATCCATAACTTAAAAATTGACAAAAGTTCAAGGTATTACAAACAGTTTGGGTGGTCGAAATTTTCACGGTCCACTAAAGCAATTCGTATGAGGAATATTTAATATGGTAGTCTTTGGTAAAATGTCATAACTATTTACTCTGAACTCTAAATGAGGAGAAGTTGGTACCATTAGAAAGAGGTCTCAAAAACCTTCAATTTTATAGTTCATCAGCTACCTAATTTATTATGTATGGAGATATATGATCATTTGAAGTTGACCTAAATACAATATTATGTCAAAATCTAATCGGTAAGGAAGCTTTGAACTCAACTTTGTGCTAGGGGGTTCTTGTGACCTTAAATCATATCCTAATCCATTCCCACAGTACATAATTGACCTTTATATCGATGAGAAATTTAAAATTACTTGATACAATCTTGCATGTAAATAAAGAATGGTTAGGACCTTAGCTTAGAAATTTTGGGGGTATTACAGTCCAAACAATTTTGCAAAGTCCAAATTGTGAGATGATAATATTAAGACATGAGACCATCTCAAAGAAGCATCTATTAGGATCATAAAGAATTTAAACTACCCTCTAGGTGGATGAATAGGTCCACAAATATCCTCATGTATATGTTCCAAGAACGTAGGGGACTCTATCACAATTTTTATTGGTGATTTCTCACAATTAACTTGCCTTGATAACAAATTGTACAAGAAAACTAACAATTAAAAGGAATCTTCAAGTTCTTTAATGAATGTCCGATTAACTTGTTATAATTCATATTATCGTTATAAATCCAGGATGTCACATACAATCATGTCAACGTATGACAGTATTGAGATTACTAAATTTCTGGTTTACTATAGAATGTGTCTCAATTGCACTAATCTTTGTAGAATACAAGCTAGAAGTTAAAGCATGAAACTTATATCTAACACATGTTTGTCCAGAGACATTCTTGGTGATACCAAGATATTCATGATTAATTTCATCCATTGTCTTGATATGATAATAATTTTCACAAATATCTTAAACTCAAAAAGTTTCTCGGAAACATAGGAGAAAATATAGCATTATCTATGATGAGTTTATCTCTCTTAGGCAAAATTATAATGACTCTTTGGAAGCCCTCTATCAAATTAGTACTACCAAAAATTATGGTAACATTTATCTTTCCCATACTTAAATGAGAAAAATACTTTTCATTTTTGAATATAATATGTGTTTTAGCAGAATCAATCAAACAAATGCCTTCATAATTGGATAACTTTCTTGAGAAATATCCATATCTTAGTCTTCAATATTTAGATGGTAGTCTCAAGCTGATAATGTATTGTAAAACTATAAAATAAGAAGAAAATCCCCCTTTTATTTATAGTAAAAAATTGGCTTGGTCCAAAAGTTAGGATTCCTAATTTTCTCTAAAAGATAGACATTCACTATATTTATAACAAAATGACAATTGTCTTTCAATAAAGGGGAAAAGTCCAATCAACATGTAAAACAATTTTATTATATTTACGATTATTAATATAAACAATAATATTGGGACAAAAATAGTACTACAAATTTTTCTAAACAAAATTATTAGTCTTAGAAATGGGAAAACGAAAACTTTAAGCATAATGCACATTACGATACAAAGTCATAATTCAATATTTTTCATAAATAACCTAAGAAAAATAACTTTCTTCAATATTCAATTGAAAAACTAATACAATTACAAATTTTCTAGGAAAGATTTTCATTGTGTGCCTCGGGTATGAGCTCAAAATCCCAAAGGTAAAGAAAAGTGTGTACGAAAGTACTTAATGCAGCATCTCCTGAGTTGACATGTGTTGCATCATCTCCCAAGTTCACCTGTTGATGCCCATACAAATCTTCGTTTTCTCTTTTTCTCTTTTTTTCTGGCCATAAAAAATAAATATTATAAGAATTAAATAGGGCAAGGACAATGAACGTGAAAATACAAACAATAATAATAAAAACAATATATAGAGGAACAATATATGTTTTATTGTGACTTTCTTAACTTTGCTTACCAATGTTTGAAGGGATGTCACGTTCGGATAAGTAGTTAGCTTCTCCCCGATTTTTAATGTAAATCCCGTTGCAAGATTCGATGCATGTTCCAACTACATATTTTTTTATCAATTTTTTACCGCGCACATGTGGTTTACGTCTCGGTGTTACCTGCAAATTAAATCATTTTAATGATCATGCATAAAGAGTCGATCTCACTATTAATTCTAATATAATATTTTTGAGCTAACCTGTAATGGTTCTTCATTTTCTCTTAATTTCTTCGTTATTTCAGGAACTTCCCCATATACAAGAAATTTGTAAACCTCTATCAGAGATCGAAACTTTTTGTTTGTCTCCAAATGATGGTAGACCTGTTTGCCGACAATTATAGAATATTTATTTTGTCATAATTTCATCAAATAAAAAATATAATCGATTTTTGTTGGCAGATTTTGTTGGCAGGAAAACATGTATATTAATCAAAAGAAAACTTACATAATCAATTATTAAACCACCTGGGCGAGAAATATTCTTGATGATCCAATTTCGCTTTCTATGTTCAAATGTATGTGTATGCATGTAATGCATATTTTTTGGTAGCATTTCATTCTGCAATCAAAACATTAGTTATGGAATTCAAATTTATCAAATATCCATTCTCAAAAGGTAATTATCTGGACAAAGTGGGGAGACTCAACATTTTGTCATCAAGTAATACATAAAATATTGAAGCATCAACATTTTATATTCTAAAGGATCATGGCATGGACAGCACAATACAATGAAGTATGTTTCTTCTATTTTTTTCTAGAAGGTTAGGTCAGGCCTATAATTGTTTCCGACGTATTTGTACGATTAATTTTGAATGAAACTCTAGACTTAGCTTGTTAGATGACCTTTAAAAGTATTATTATTGTTACTATTATATATATATACTACTTTGGACTACTTTTTCTTTCAGCTAAGGGTTTATCAGAAACAACTACTCTACTTCTAAGGTAATGGTAAGGTATGTGTAAACTTTATTCTTCGCAAACCCCATTTCATCGGATTACACTGGGTTTATTGTTGTTTTTTATTATTATTATCGATATGGAATATTTAAATGTTGTTGTAATACAATTCATATCTTTTAGCTTTAGAGAAGAACATTTCTATTGTTTTCATGAAATTATTAATATTAAAAAGTTGTTCAAGAATTCATCAAAAGATTTTTGTACATGTTTTAAAAGGAAAAAAAGCAAATCTATAATTGGAAGAACCTTTCAAAACTAAAAGAAAAGAACTTTTCAAAAGTGTACCTGCAAAACATCAACATTTGCTTTTTCCAGTGCGATAAAAGATATAGGAACTTCTGTTAATGTTGCATCCTCATCACCATCATTTCGGTCCTGCTTATCCATATTCTAGTATGGAAAAAATAATTAGATATTTTATAAACTGAAAAATTGTGTGAAGTAATTGAGAACCCCATTCCATGAGATTACACTTGATTTGTTGTTGTTTTTTATTATTATTATTATCGATATAGCTTATTTAAATGTTGTTGTTATAATACAATTCATACCATTTAGCTTTAGAGAAGAACATTTCTCGTGTTTTCATAAAACCATTAATATTAAAAAGTTGTTCAAGAATTCATCAAAAGATTTGTGTACATGTCATAAAAGGAAAAAAACAATCAACTTATAATTGGAAGAACCTTTCAAAACAAAAAAGAGAAGAACTTTTCAAAAGTGTACCTGTAAAACATCAACCTTTGCTTTTTCCAGTGCGATAAAAGATATAGGAACTTCTGTTAATGTTGCATCCTCATCACCATCCATTCGATCCAGCTTATTCATATTTTAGTATGAAAAAAATAATTAGATATTTTATAAACTGAAAAATTGTGAGAAGTAATTAAGAAGGTTCTAAAAAAACTCCAAAATTGCTTGTTTGCTAGTAAGATATATATATATACACACACACAAAGTGCTAGAATGCCCAAAAAAATACTTGTCCATCAATCTTATGCATTTTGTAACAACATCAATGATGGTTGTGGCTATGCATCTCTAAAGTTTTACTAAATAATTGAATGTGAGATGAAAAGTTCCATCCAAAATCAGAATTTCATTCTAACCAAATTAATATTTTGGGTGAAAATTAATTTTAAAGGCTTCTATTTCTAAGGAAATTCTTAAACTAAAAGATGTACAGTAATAAGCAGACATATTTTTTAGTATTCAGATCTTAATACATTCTCTTAATATTGAGATGTCTATTCAAAGATTCATGCACTTCTATCATTCAGATATGCATTCAGATTTTGACGTCTTATATATAATCATAAAAAAATGAGGATTTAAACTTGCTAGAAAACTTCTAATACACTACAACTATTACTATTACTTATATGTATTCAAATGATTGTTTAACTTTTTTTATTTATGTCACTATAGCATGATCAGTTTAGTTTAAATAGAGAAATGAGGATTCATACAGCCAAATTCATTTTTTTTTTAATTGAGATATAGTTAAATGTTATTGTTATGTGACTTAGATGTGCTAGCTCTAGAAAAAAATTATCTTTCTTCCGTAAGATTACTAATACTAGAAAAGTTCTTATCGAATAGAACAAAAGATTTGTATACCTGTCTTAATAGAAGAAGAACTAAATACCTTATAATAAGTATGTTAAACAATAAATAATTTTTTTAAAGCTTACCAATGACACACCAGCTTGTGGTGCAACAGAAGATATCGGAATTGCCATTATTGCATCTCTACGATCAACTTTGTGGTGCTTATCCATTTTCTGGTAGAAAATAAATACTTAGTTATATATTATGTAAAATTAAAAATTGTGTGAAGTAATATTGGAGGAAACAATAAAAAAGATATCATCTAACGAAATAATGATGAAATTGCTAGTATATACATTAATTAATATTTTAATACTTAATAAAGTTCTAGAATATCACAAAATAGAAAGAAATAGATGTTTTTTCGTAAATCTTATGCTTTCAATAACAAATGCAATGATATTCTTGAAAAAACTCAAGTTTCTTTGCAACTCTTATAGCATCTTCACATAAAAAAGGTTACTTTCTATTCTTGTTAAAAGAAATTATAGTTTCAATAGTTAATTACACAAACTAATTTGTATTTTAATATATTTATCTATAGCATAGTTTAAGAGGAGTAATGATAGTAAGTCAAGTGCTCTATGTTAATTTAATGTTTGTTCAATTTTCATCAAAATTATGATGCTTAATTTGTAGGCGTTTGGACAAGTGATTTCATCTTGTGATTTGAAATCATGAGATGAAAACCAGTATTTGGACAAGTGATTTCATCTCATGATTTCAAATTATGAGATGAAATCCCAAATTCTCCAAAAAATATTTGATTTGGAAATTTTATATCATGATGTCACATTTTCAACTACAAAAATTGACGCACAAGTTTATATTTTATATTAAAAAAATCATATATCTACATAATATTGTGCAAGAATACCAAAGGAGTAATAAAATATTTACGAAATATGAACATGATGATATAATTACTAAAGGTATTGACCATGTTCAATTATATTAAAGAGTACTACACTACAACTCATGTTTAATGTTACCATTTTATTGAACTAAATTAAAGTTCAATCAATAAATGTTGTATTTTTTTTTTAGAAAAACTTTTTGATAGTGTATTATACTTTTGTTATGAACTTTTTCTTATTTGGTAAGATTGTAAAAAATAATTCGGGGTATTTTGATAGTTTTAATAACTTCTGGAGATTTTATTTTTATGAGCCAAAAATACAACTTAAAAATTTAAATTACATGTCCACATAAAACTTAACTTAATTTTATATCACGATTTCATCTCACATGGATGTTTATTAAACTAACTTTTTTATATGGGTATAAATGGCTCAAAAGACTTTTGTATATGGTGAGTTTTATCACGGGTAGATGTTTGATTTTTTTTTCATTATCTCACATATTTTATACTGAGGTGATACAATAGTAATTTTCTTAAGTCATGTATGATTTCGATTTGAAAAAAAAAATATTTATATGTTTTTAATACTTGAAAAAAATCAGTCACTAAAAATAAAAATGTTCTTCATGCATCATAGCCACCATCATCTATTATTTACAATTATTATTGGCACCAATCATAATTGGAATAAAAATCATCGAACTTTATCGGCAATCACTATGATAAGTCACAATTATATTGTTAGCCACCATCATCTATCACCACAATCATTAATTATCACTATTGTCCAACTATCAACCACCACCAAACTACTACATTCAACTTCTACCACCATCACTATCAATAGCTTATATCAACAACACCATCATTAGTCAATACACCATCCTCAATTGACATCCACCACCAATGTAGCTAGTCATCACAACCATCAACCATCATATAATTTTTTTTTAAAATATTTTTGTAGTTTTAAATTAATTTTAGTTTCTTAAATTTTAGATTAAATGGTTGAAAAGACACATTTACTATGACCGATTTTTTTATAACACACTCATATTTTATGGCGGTCCTATGACCCTCCCCCCCTTCCCCCCCTCCCCCCCGAATATTTTTAAAGCACTTATTTGGCATTATCGGGTGGGATAAATAAAAAAATAAAAGTTTTGTTATTTCGTTTGTACACACTTGTTGATCAAAAGGTACAAACAAATGGGTTTGATCATTTTCACTTACTTACACTCTTCGAACAAAGTAAAAATGGAGATCCTTTCATTCACACTTCAATTTTTTCTCAAAGTAATCAAATGAATCTTTTGAAATTTAATCTCATGAATCATTATATTCTTCCATAATTAAGTTTTATCTTGTGTCACAATTGATAAATGTCAAACGGATGCTTAAAAAATATTCAAGTGGATACTATGTCCTCCATAAAGTATGAGTACATTACTACTAATTTGGTCATAGATTGTATCATTTTTTTCATTTTACCTAAACTTTGTGCTTATTAAACTTTAAATAAATAACCATTTTACATATTTTATGTTCAATAATGAGCAACCTTATTATTTAGTATTCATATTTTAATACATCGTCTTAATATTGAATAGTCTATAAAGAGATTGCTAATGCACATCTTATCAGTCAAATATACATTCAGATTTAGACATCTTCACTATACATTTAAAACAAATATGAGGCCTTAGCCTTGTTAGAGAAATTCTCAAACTACTATTATCATTATTACTATTACTTATATGCATTTAACATATTTTTTACTTCTACTTTTATTTGTATGACTATGGCGTGATTAATTTTGCTTAAATGGAGAAATGAGGATTCATATAATCAATTTTAACTTGTTTGGGATTGATAAATAGTTAAATGTTGTTGTTGTTATGCGATTCAAAAGTTTTAGCTTTAGAAAGAAAATCCTTCTCTTTCTTCCATTAGACGACTAACATTAAGAAAGTTGTTTCCAAATGAATAAAAAATATTTACATATGTTTATGCTTAAAAAAATCTCTCTAAAAATAAAAACTCTCTTCATACATTATAGCCATTAATTTTATAATAGTGAATAATACCGTATGGACGAAAGTTGTCTTGAAAGACCTATCATTTTTTGGCATGAATGTAGAACGTAACTAAAAACAACAAAATTAGAAAATAGAATTTAGACTTATATTTATCTATATGAAATATTCAAATATTGATGTTGTGATGTAATCCTTATGTCTTAGTTCTAGAGAAGAATATTTTTCTTTCTTTCATAACCAATTAACATTAACAAGTTGTTCAAGAATCCATCAAAAGTTTTTTGTACACATCTCAAAAGGACAAAAACTAACACCTTATAATTGGAGGAACTTTTAAAAAGCTTACCTCAACAACATCATCTTTTGATTCTTGAGGTGCGAAAAAAGATATGGGAACTTCCCTTAATGTTGCATCTTCATCACCAACTTTGTACTGCTTATTCATATCCAAGTAAAACATATGAAAAAAAAATAGTTAGATCTTTTGTAAAATGAAAACTTGTATGAAGTGATGGAGAAGGCTTTCAAAAGAGATGTAAATAGCTCATTTACTATATTTCAAGTAATATTTTAAGAACTTAATCAAAGTTCTACAATACCCAAATAAAAAATATTTGTCCATCTATATTATACATTCTATAGCAAGATCATTGATGTTTGTGGTCTTGCATCTTTTAAATTTCACTAAATTCATTGAATGTGTTACAAAAAAAAATTCATCCTAAATCCAAATCTTTTTCTAAGAAAGTTATATTTTTGGGTAAAATCAATTTTAAAAGCTTCTTTTTATAATGAAATTGTTAAAAGTTGTCACAACATCTATCACATACTAAATTAATCCTCACCACAGTAGCAATTATTTCTCTTTTAATTTGGCCAAATCTACGAGGATTGATCTCCTCTATTCTGACCTAGATTTACTAAAACTTGAATCCTTAAAATGGAAAAATGGAAAGAAATGGCTAGATGAAGAGGAAAAATTATGAAAAGCTTAGATCCATCTGACTAGTGGTTATGATAAATTTCCAAATTGAAAAACTACTATATTATCCATTATCATGATATGTGAAATGAATCTACCTAGTTATTATTGATATAATTATCCTCCCTATTCAAAAAAATTGTATACATTTTTTCAGAAATGTTAAAACATGAAAAGATCATTTGAGATAGTTTGGTCATATCATAGGTTGTTCTATGGATGAATCGATCTATTCGTGTGAAAATATGGTAAGTAGAAGTATTAAATATCATATGAAAGAAGGTTTTCTCTGAAGACTTATCAGTTTTTGACATAATGCATACTTAACTAAGAATATCGCACAACGGAGAAAAAAAATGTGTATGGGTGATATCTACTAGTAAATATTATAATTTAGGTCTCTTTTGTTTGCATTAATTAAGATTTAATTTTAATCATTCAAATCTCATCCATTAAATATGTATGTTTTTTAGGTTAGAATCTCAATCATTAAGTACATTTTGTTATGATGTGGCCATTTGTTGGGTCTGGATAGGTATAAATGATTAGATCTATAACAAAGTCTAATATCATTGATATGTCTATTCAAAGGTTTCTAAATACATTACAGTTCACTAATTCTATCCATTCATTGCTAGCTCCATACTCCATCATTATCAATCATCATCATAATTGTCCATCATTATCAACTACTACCATCAACCGCCCACAACTGCCATCATCAACGACCACCACTACCATCCCTAAATCAACTACAACACCACTAGCTATCATTTACAATTATTATTTTCATCAATCATCATTATAATAAAATCATCGAGCATTATCGACAATCACCATCATAAGTAACCACTCACAACTATATATATTTCCAACCACCGTCATCATTCATCACTATCGTTAACTATTAACCACCCCGGTAATACTACCATAAACTGCTACAACCATCATTACCAATAAGTACTATCCATAACGCCAATATTAGTTGGCACACCATCATCAATTGACATTCACTATTACCACCGCTAGTCATCACAACCATAAACTAGCATATAATGTTTTAAAATATTTAGTTGGAGTCCCCATAGTGAATTATCTAATAAGACCTCAAAGATAGGGAGGGTATAAAAACTTATATCTCTTGTTTAATCTATATGGTTTGTGTTGTGATGTAATGTTATGTCGTGTTATGTTAGGAGGTGACCTAGTCATATAGACCTCTAGAAGAGACTCTGAGAGTGATTAAAAGTATGAACCAAGTATTCTTCATGCTTGTTGCGTTCATTTTCTGTTGATGAGTTAAGTCTTGTTCATGATGTAGTGAGAACCTACAGTCCCATAAGAATGAATTAATTTAGCATATAAAGTGCTTTAAAGGGGTTAATTAATAGAGTAGAAACTCCATGAATTAGCTATTGTGATCATGGAAAACTATTGTATGATGAAATAACCCTTAGGTTATAAATTAGACCTTGAGAAAGGGTAGAAAGAAGTGGGTTTGAAAATTTTCAAGGCCATTGTTTGAATAGTAGATGATTAAATACTTTTAAATTTATTTGTTTTAGACTTTGAGGAAATGAATGGCTCAAAGTGAATTAGCTTGCTCAATCTTTGATTAGTTACTTGTGTGTATTGTAAGTCTGTAAAGAACAGATAACATACTAAGCTATATATATACACTATTTTGATGATGAGTGACTCGATTTCGATGTGAGCTTTTGAATAAGCAGTTGTGGGTGATGAATACCATTTCAATATGATATATGATTGTGTAATGGATCGAGTACCACACAGGTACGGTACATGAATAGATAGGGGCTCATGAATAGTTGAAAAATATTAAAGTCTTTTAGTATGTGTGATTGAGTGAGTCACAGATAAGCCTAATGAGATGCAGAAACTTTTCTGATATAACTCAGTGTGGATGTAATTGCATATTTGTGTGTGAACGCTTATATTATTTAGAGTTTGTGATTTTATTATTTCTGTTGTGGTGACTTATATATCTGGTGATGTGTCGACATTAATATATCGGAAGTGAGATTATCTACCTGGTGGATGTTGACTACTTGACTTGATGAGTTATTGATTATGTCTACCTTCTTGTTGGATTTACATGTCTACTTGTTTGTTGGATTTAAATGCCTATGATACCTACTAGTATATTGGTGTTTGTACTAATGCTACTATTGCAATTTTGTTTGAGCGCAGACTATGATCTAGAATCTTTCACGAGGCCCCAAATTCGAAGCAGTTGCACTTCTTATGTGACGATGAGTTACTCCTTTTCAAGCTGCCACAGATATTCTAGGGGACTGGTGTTTATCTCTTTCAAAAATTGTTTTATTTATTTATTTATTACTCTTCTCAAGTATTTTAGTTGAACTCATGTATGATGACTTTTGGATTCTGAAGTTATAATAATTTATACATTCACATTTCTTAATCTATTATACTTGAGACTTTATGTCTTGTCTTAATGTTTTTAAATGAGTCAGTTATAGTATTGCTTAGTTGGTAAAATATGGTTTGCCCATTGTGGAGTTAGTGTGTGTCTTAGATTGTGATCAAATCTTTAGGTTTTTTTATCGTGTTATTACTTTATCCATGGTGATCCAAATTGGTATATAACATTCACTTTTTCTCTCACAAATGATGTGGATACGTTCAGGAGAAGCTATAGTCGAGGCACTTGAGCCGGCAGTTACTATTGTGATGCGTGATAGTGGAGATAATCAGGGCAGCAACACCAGCCAAGGCTAACGCCCCAGCTGTTGACCAGGTTAGAGACAAGTCCAAGTCCCCACACTTCTAAATAATCTTTAATATGGTAGAAGAGAAAGCAATGGCACTAGTTTAGGAGATTGTTGCGCTAGCTCTGACTTCATCAGATGTAGTCATTCAAGTATTGACTTTGTTGAGGGGTTTGGTAGGGACTGGAGTGGCACCCGAAATTTTGACAGGGCATTATTTATGGGTCCAGTATGTTGTTGATATGGCTTTGTGGATGGACAAGGTTTATGAGATAGGGCTATTTTCATGAACAATGACTGGACCGGTGATGACGAGAGATGAGCATGATCTATTTTGGAGAGTCACTAAGATGAATCCTCGATGGTTCTATGTTTTTGAGTCTGAGGATGTTAACGAGTTCAATAACAAACGTATTATTTATTTTTCAGATCTTAATACACCATCTTAACATTGAGATGTCAATTTAGATATTCTTAATACATGTCTTATCATTTACATATGCATCCATATTTAGACGCCTTATACTCTTAAAACGACAAATGAAGCCTTAGACTTGTTAGAGAACTTCTAATACTACAATTAAATGTTGTTGATTTTATGTGCCTCAGATGCTTTGGCTCTAGAAAGAAAAATGTTTATCTTTATTCTTTAAGACAACTAACATTAAAAAACTTATTCCCAAATGCATCAAAATATTATTTTTACATGTATTAAAAGGAACAGAACTAAGCACCTTAAAATATGTAAGCTAAACAATGAAGAAACTTTTCAAAAGCTTACCTCTAAAACATCATCTTGAGGTGCGACAGATGATATGGAAATCGCCACTATTGCATCTTCAACATCTACTTTGAAGAGCGTATCCATATTCTAGTAGAAAATATAAATAATTTGTTATTTATTTCGTAAAATCAAAAATTGTGTGAACTAATTATATTGGAGGAGACTATCAAAAAGTTTCCCTTTAAATAAAATAAACATCAAAATTGCTAACTTGATTGTAATTTATATGTGTGTTATAACATTTTAAAACCTTAATAAGAGTTTCAGATTACCACCAACAAAATTTTTAAAAAAAGTGATTTTCCATTGGTCTTAGGTTTTCAATAATAGAAACAATGATTTCCTTGGGAAGTTCAAATTTCTTTATCATTTTTCAAGCATCTTCACATTATAAGAAAGTTTTACTTTCTATTCTTGTTAAAAGAAACAGTAGTTTCAACGGTAATACAAATTAATTTATCTTTTTAATATATGTATTTATTAAAAAAAAATAAGAGTAGTAACGATTTAAGTTAGATTCTCAACGTTAATTCAATGTTATTTCAATGTTCATGTGGGTATAAATGGATCAAAACACTTTCATCTATTATGTGTTTAAACAAGGGTAGAAGTTTGAGATTTTCTCATTACTTGATTTTGTAGCAAGGTGATGTCAAACATTTAATTTATTTTTATTTATAGAACTATTTAGATGTTATTGTTATGATACGATTCAATTGTATTCTTTTCTTTCATAGCACAATTAACATCAAAAAGTTGTTCAAGTACCCATCAAAAAAAAGTGTACATGGCTTATAAGGAAAAAAATAAGCACCTTATAATTAGAGGAACTTTTTAAGGCTTACCTCTAAATCATCAACTTTTGATTTTTGAGGTGTGATAACAGATATGGGAACATCCATTAGCATTGCGTCTTCATCACCATGAATTTTGCTTTGGTTATCCATAGTCTAGTAAAAAAACAAGAAAGCTTAGTTAGATCTTTTGTAAGACAAAAATATTTTGTGAAGTAATAGAAAAAAAATTCAAAAAATGATGAAAATTGCTAGCTTGCTAGTAATTTATATATACGTGTCAAATAACATCTTAAGAACTTAATCAAAATGCTAGATCACCCACAGAAAAAAGAGTCAAAGTAAAAGATGCTTGTCCATCAATGTATACATATTGTAACAAGATCAAGATCAATTATTGTTCTGGTCATACATCTCAAACGATTTACTAAATATATTGGATGTATGAAAAAAATAAATCATTCTTTATCAAAAATTCTTTCTAAAAAAGTTTTAAAATTTGGAAAATATCAATTTAAAAATTTCTCTTTAAAAAAAAAAAATTAAAGGCGCCCACAACCTCTAGATCTATCACAAATTAAATTAATCTCCACTCAAAGCAACAATTATTTATCTTTTAATGGTCAAACCTAAGATGATCTATCTACTTTATTAGAACTTGCATCCTTGAAATAAAAATAAATGATTAGATAAATAGAGAGGGGGGTGGGGGGGATATGAAAAGCTTAGATTTGTCATAAGAAAAATTATATATTTCGATCTATTGCGAGCATGCATATCTCAAGATTCATTGGATTAGTGATAAAAAAAATTACTTCTTATATTTAAATTTATTTCAAAAAAAATTATGAATTTTGAGAAAAATCAATTTTAAAGACTCTTTGTACAAGGAAATTGTTAAAGTGGTTTAGATCTATCACAAGTTAAATTTATCTCCACCATGTCAATAATTTATTTATTTTTATTTGGTCAAACCCAAAGTGATCGATCTGTTCTCTTTCCTTCTAGATGTACTAGAACTTTCATCCATAAAAGAGTAAGAAAATAATAATAATAATAATAATAATAGAAAAAAAAAAAGAATCAAGATCCTAGATAATTTAATAATAGAAGATATATAGATAGATCAATGAAATTAAGAAGGCATAAGTCTAAACCTCAAACTTATTTGTAGCAGCTGAGCTGGATTAAGAATCTTCTTCTAATAGAATGAACTCAGCAGGCGGAGAAGACAAAGTGAGAGTAAAAAGAAATTGTTTAGATATATACTAGTCTATTTCAGAGTTGGTAAGAAAATTAACTTTGTTACTTTTAAATGCTTTTTTGGGAGGTAGAATTGAAGGCAAATTCGTGTAATCTTTCTTTTGAATAGTTTTGGTGTGTGTTTGATATAATTTCCTTAAAAGTCATTCAAATATTGAAAAGATTTCACTAAAATTATTTTAAATTTTTTTTCCTATAAAGTAATTCAACTATAACTTTATGTCCTAAAATAAAAAAAATTATTTCTCTCAATAGGTTTCTTAGTTGGTATACCATGTCTTATTAATTTCTTATCCTCATATCATGTACGATATAACATAAGTTAAATTTGAATACAAAAATATTAAATTTAACAATTTAATTTTACATATACGTCAATTTAAGTCCTTAATTATTTTGAAATTAAATATTATCTCCTAACGAGGATGATATCTGATGCAGTTATTAATTAATATGTTTTGTAAAAACTAGAAAGGTAATTTTTGGAAATTTTTATAAAAGTAGCATTTTATCCTTTTCTATAGTGACCCTGAGTTTTTTGAATGAATTTTAAAATTGATTTTGAGCTTTGAGTACAAAGTTGTGAATTTTCAAAGTTTTTTATTTCAAACGGCTAAAGTTGTTAAAATGTAGTTTTTGAAGTTTTGAGTGTCCGAATAGATTTTTTATCAATTTCATCAGTTCTAGAATGTGGAGATTGGTCGAAGAGTGTTGTCACATTCAAATTCAGAGTCTTTTTTTAGGATTTGAGGTCTTACGCTAGAACTTTGTGAAATTTTAGGTTTTGGGTTGACTTTGGTAAACATTCAGGGTTTAGATGCTCAAATAAGAATTCTGAGAGTTATGTTGGATTCGAAGGATGATTTTAGGCCTAACTGAGGTCTTGATTGAAGTTTCAGAGGTCCAAAGCTTGATTAAGCATTTTTAGGTGTTATATTCGTTTCTTGTGACTTCCAGAAGTTTCAGGTCAAGGAGACCTCAAATTTGTGTTTCGATGGTTCCATTGATTCTAGATTGTCGAGTTTTATCATGTTACATATATGGTTTGTGTGACACCTCGAAAGTTAAAAAGTCGAAAGCAAAAGAGAAATGCAGATTTGGGCACTGAAACAGGTTCTACGAGTCCAACCTAGAGACCGTAGAAAGTCCTACGGGCCATAGAAAGGAAGTCTCAAACTTGGAGATAAATTTTTAGAATTTCAAGTTTCTGAAGTTTGACCTACGAATGAAAATGACGATCCGTAAGAAGGTTGATGAGCCGTAGATCAAAGAAAGATTCCAGACTTAGTTAAATTTTGAACCAAAAGTTTGTTTCTACAAATGGGGTCTACGGACCGTAGAAAATTCAATGGACTGTAGAAAGTTCTTGTGGGAAATAATTGAATATTTGGATTTCTGAAGTTGGTTCTACGTTTGACCAGGACGGGACGTAGAAATTCTTACGGGTTGTAGGTCACAACCGTACAAACCATCCGTTAGTTATTTTTAAGGGTATTTGAGTTTTTTCCTATACATTTGATGCATATATTATATTGTTTTGACCCTTATTTTAAGTCTTATAACTACCCTTCTATCACGCCTCGAGCCTATACCCTAGGCGTAACTAGCACTCGAGAACCATTGTTGGTTCCCAAGCAAACCCTTGGTCTGGCTCATTACTCAGCGGAAGACTTACTCAAGCAAAATGGGAACTCCAAATGCATAAATAACTTTAAAACTCGATTTGAACTCTACTCCAATAATTGTCTGAAAATAATTTAACTAGTTATAGTTAAATGTCTCATGACCTCAAAACATTCCAACAACAAAGGAAATAATGAGAGACTCCTCGACATTTAAACTATCTATGAAGCCTCTACTATTACAGAAGAATTATTGGGACAATGCCCACGACATCTTAACACACTGAAAAGTAAAAGTAGAACCCTCCGAAAGAAATGAGGCTCACCAAAGCTAATTGAAACTGCAAGTGATATCAACGGAGTGTCTGTTGATGACCCTGAATACCTGTATATGTATCATGAAAAATGCAGGTCAAATGGCGTCAGTACATTGAATGTACGAGCATGTAAGGGGAATACGGAAACATAACATAAGTTTGAACTGATAAAAAGGGGACATACTTACCTCGTCTCATCTCACTCAACTCGACTCAACTCAAGAATACTCAAATCAACTCAAGGATGATCAACTCAAAGATACTCAACTCAAATCAAGCATACTCAACTCAGACGCACTCAACTCAACTCAAAAAATAAGCAACAATAAAATATGCAATATATGGAATGCTTTTAAAACAGTAGATAATAACTCAATTGTATGCAAAAATACAATAATAACTCTTATTTAGGATATTCTCTAACCGATAACCATCACTATAAGCTATGTGGTGAAACATCGTCTCGCCCACACTACTAGAATGTCCTATACCTTGCCGGAGTATAGGATATCCTCAACTAACTGGATCCACTAAGTTATGCTATATATATATATAAAAAAAAAAAAAAACTCATGATCAAGTGTTTAAAAACATTAATCTTCCTCAATTTGATATAATTACTCAAAAGATCCTCTAAAAAGAGGTAATGCTCAAGACTACTCATAAACTCATTTAGAAATCAATATTTCTCTCGTTTTGAATGTAAAAGTGTTACATGCTTGAGAATACTTAGCTCCCTTATACTCATTTCGACATGTGAAACTCAACTCTCTTAATCCTCATACTCATTTACTCAAGTATTAAAACAAATTATAACTAATAGTAAAAGACTTCACAAAATAGGGTTCATGCCAAATTATAGACGTGAACGACTTAATTCAAGGATCTCAATAACCGTATACAGAAGTCAATACTCAGAACTTAATAACTCCAGAACACAAAGACTCAATTATACTACTCATCTTAAGAATTCTCGACTCATAGGGTTCATGCAGAATTATGGGCATGAATAACTCAACTCTAGGACCTCCATGTATAACATATAGTAATCCCATAGTTAGAAATATAGTTTCACAAAGGATTAGGAACTCAATACTCAAGAACTCAGAACTCGAAGATACTACACCTCTCAAGGACACTCAATTCATAGAGTTCATGCGAAATTATGGACATGAACGACTCGACTCAAGGGTCTCAATGACAACATAGAACTCATGTGTACAACTCTTCTCATTCTCATACTCAAGTCCTAAAACAAGTTAAAATTAGTTGCAAAAAAAACTTCTCAAAAAGGGACTCAAGGGTTTTTCTCAAACTTTACGCTTAATCTATGATTTAATTGAAAATGAAGATTTAAGAGTTATGATTACGATATGAATGATCTATCAAGGATTAATGAAGCTTAGGATAGTTATGTCAATAGGGAAATGAATACATGATTGGATGGATAGCATATAAAACGAAAGACGGAACGGAACGGAACGGAACGGAACGGAACGGAACGGAACGGAACGGAACGGAACGGAACGGAACGGAACGGAACGGAAAGAAAAAGTGACATGACGCTCCAAGTGCAGGGGTGGCGTATCGCACTAGGCCTCCATTTACTGGGGTCTGATTGAGTGCACTGTTGGCGCGTCGCGCCAGGCCTCCATTCACTGTGGGTCTAATTGGGTGCACTGCTGGTGTGTCGCACCAGGCCTCCATTTATTGGAGGTCTAATTGGGCGCACTGTTGGCGCATCGCTCCAAGCCTCCATTTACTGGGGGTCTTATTGGGTGCACTGTGCACTGTTGGCGCATCTCCCCAGCCCCAACCCAAAAACTTTCGACGATTTTTTTCTTCTCAATTTCATTCCCTAACTCATCTAGAATCGAATGATTACCTCCCAGCTCGTTGAGAATCATATACCCATCACTAATCTAACAAAATTTCGCTCAAAACTCATCAA